TTTAGGATATAAGAAAAGTTTTGGGTACATTGAAGATGAATGAATAACTTTAGGATTATTGAAATAATTACGAACATCAAATTACACTTCCGTCACAACTGCCAAGACTATTGGGCATCAAAGTGAATGAGAGGGCGAGCAATACCTTCAGGCTCTTAGCACGATAGAAACATAACATTTCAATGACACATACAAATGATCGCCGATTATTTTTTTAGTGTTCAGAATCCCATATCTTAACTCACAACCCATAAAGAAAAAAATTTCAACTTATGAACTTTAGAAATTAAATAAATTTTCAGTATACTAATATCTAATATTTCTAAAAATGAGGACAATAATCCTGAAAACTGGAAGAAAATAAAAGAAGTTACTTAACAGAACAAGCCGAAAGGTAGTGTACTAAAACTACTCATCGTTCCGATATATGGAAATAAAATTAAAATGATGATGATTTTCAACAAAACGGTAAATTGTGTCATCAAATTACTTTAAACGAAAATTGTAAATTATAACAAAAATATTTCGTTTATTCAAATAATCTTAATACTAGAAGAGTTGATTTGTTAGGTACGATACATGATATAAGTATCTATAAATGTTGTATATAATTATGTGAACTTGTACTTGCATGTACTTGTATGTGTATGTGTATAATGTTATATAAATTGAATATGCTAATCAGTTATTCTAAAACAGACAAAACATGCATACAATCAGATTAAATACACACACACAGACATATACATATGTACATATGGCAGAATATATCAGCTAATTGCCTAATTTATTTAAAATCGTTCCATCTTTCAGAAACGTACAGTTACATATGTATTTGGTAGATATGTAAATATACAAGTATGTGTGCACATGCGCTTACAATGCTGTCAAATCTATCTGCAAATGAAATGCATGTAAACGCTTGAAATCCCTGTGTAATATAATAGTTTGCCACTTCTTACATCATACTACATATGTATGTATGTATGATATGTTCGTGTCTGCACTTGCAGGAACATGCCAAACAAATAGTACTAGCAAATAATGAGTCCAAAATTAACTGTCATAAAACGCATTGCAGCGTCGTTTTGCACAACTTTAATAGTTTCCGCTCTGCCGTAGTTATTCGGTTTTGACTTCTGGGCAGCTGATAAATTTGATTGCCGCGCTTTGTTTCATTCATAGTAGGTGTTAAATGTGCACATCCGCGCATGAACACCGGCGAACTTGTGCCGTTTCAGACAGGGACGCAAAGAGTCTGATGTTTTCAAATTTTTGTGTCGCTCTGGGCATTCACACGGTCAAAAGAGTCCAGCAACCTGAGTCTAGTTTTCGCATTCCTTTCACAAATGTTCAAATATTTGTGCGGTCTGACTGCGTAACACCGCGCAACACTGCGTGCGTATTTCATTTGTATGTTGAGATGATGGTCACACATTTTTGCAATGAATTACCATGAATATGGTAGAACAATATGCTATAGTACAAGTACCTACCCGCTAAATAGTTTCAAAATAAAGACGGAATTCTAATCCACAAGAATGTATTGAATATCCGCAACTAATATTTTCAAGGCCAAATTTATAATAGCAATTTCTAATCTTTAAGTATTAAAACTCATAATTTCTTTACTCCGTATTAAAATTCATAATTTCTTTATCATAATCTATATCTTAATTTTCTCCTTATTTACATAATAATATCTATTATTCTATGCATACGTATTTGCTATTACATAAAAAAGATAACAGAACTCAAATTTGCGATCGAATTTTGAAACCGAGCGTTTGCAACCATTCAAAGAATTTGAAAGTGAAAAGGAATGCTGAAAAGGTAGGCGAGCTGTTACGAACAAGAACACAAAGCGTACCCGAACACGAGTGGACGGTCCCTCGTCTTCCTCGTCATCCCTCACCCACAATAAACTGGTATGAGACTCTTTGCGTCCCAATGTGAAACGGCACCTGCACAAGGGCGTATGCATAAATTGTTTCAACACCACCAACAAAACAAAATAGATAACTAATAAACAAACGAAAATTTGTCTCACCCACCAGTTCATGCAAATTTTCCAAATATAATTTCGTCATGTTCAAACTAGACCGCTAGTGGGGTGTAGGTTGTGGCAGGTTTTCGGTCAATGACGGTCGAGGTGGTGCAACGAGTGCTATGCGTGAGTCATTGAACTTTGTGACAGTGAAACGAATAAAATAAATAAAATTGAAACATATTTTAAAAATGTACAAGTATAAGTAAATAAAACATATACTTATATGCATATAAACTTATGTTATACAAGAGAAACGTAAACTTGGCGCTGCACGAAGCTATAATAAATTCTCATACCACAAAGTGTATCAGATTTTTATATTGATTTTGATTGATCATTTGTACTGCAGGTACATATATGTACATATGTATGTGCTATACCTGTCGACCTGAACAATGTGTTTAGAGATGATAGCGCTGTCTTCAACAATAAAAGTATGTCAAATAAAACAGATTAAAATAAAAGTCTTTCGTACAAAACTTGATTTGGAACGGCCTATATATGGAACTATAAGCTATATGATCGATCTAAACAATTTATTTGCAGATTGTACTGTCACCTTGATAATAATACTTCGAATTTCGTAAAGATATGTTGCCAACACAAAGTTTCTCACAAGGACTGGATCGATCAGTTTGATGACAGCTATGTGCTGAGTGGTCGGAACAGAACTATTGCTCAGAGTTTTCACCATTACTTTGAAAATAATCATGCCGAATTTCGTGAAGATAACTTTCAAAAAAAGTTTTCCATACAAGAACATTATTTTGACCGATCAGTTTGTATCGCAGCTATGTCCATAGTGGTCCGATATCGACAGTTCTGATGAACGAACAGCTTCTTGACAGAGAAGAAGTGCGAAATTCCGGATCGATATCTCAAAACTTAACGACTAGTTCGCGTATATATAGGGGCAGACACAGACATACGGCATGATCGGCATCGATGCCGCCCACTTGGTATCCGCTGTGCAGAAGGAACTAGTTGAGCATGCGACGCAACATGCGCAGGACGAGATACAATAACAAGCGAAACCAGTATACTGGGAAGAAGAATCGCCACGCTGAGGAAGCTCTGTCACTAGCTAGACGTCGTCCTGCGTAACCAGGAGGCGAGAATGAAATCGCCCCAGAGAAGCCTTTAAACGCCAAAAAGCCCTGAAGTCAGCAATCATGTAGCAAAGAGGTTGTTCTGAAAAGCTGTGAAAAGCAAACCTAGACTCCTGGGAACGGCGTACAAAATATATATGTTGAAATTAAAATATGTCGCAGCAACCAAAGAATGCATCATTTATGAGGAAAGTGGTCGACGCATTATTTCCAGCACATTACCCCATTTTCATGCTAAGCGAAACGATGTCCTCCGCATGCTCGACACGATTTGTAAAGTGTACGAAAGCATACTAAGAAACCGCTTGAGTTAGTAATCCAAAAGCCGGCGGATTATCAGCGAGACAATACGGCTTTATAAAATGAGGTCCACTATTCACGCACTAAGTAAAGTCGTTGATATCGCTAACATATGGCAAAGATGGAAAGGTGGTACCAAAGAATATTGCGCGCAAATTACCCTGGATGTGAGGGATGCATCTTCCTGCGAAATGGGCAAATCATCAAGGCCCTGTACGAAATACGCGCTCCCAATACCTCATAAATATTATTATGAGTTATTTTGAGAACAGAAGGCCGCTATTCGACACAGATGAGGGTACCAAAGCTACTCTATTTCGAGGAGTACCGCAAGGTTCGGTTTAGGCCCAGTTCTGGAACCTGATGTCGACGAGGTGCTAAGACTACATCAACAACAATCCGTGAAACTAATCGCCTATGCGGATGACCCATAGTGGTAGCAAAACATCTAGATGATCTTCGGGTCAAATGCAATGATTGCATAAATGGCATTCGACGGTGGTTCGCAACCATGAGTCTAGAGTTGGCTAAGAAGAAAACAGAGGTCTTGCTCATTAGCTCCAGGAAAATTGAAGAAAATTATCGCTCACCATAGGAGAATGTCAGATAACTTCACAGCCACAGCTGAAGTATCTTGGTGTAATATTGACCTGCTAAAATTTAAAGAGACATGGAAACACGACGGTAAAGCAAATAAAATCTATAATTCTTATCTGAATGATGGAAATAGAGGCTGTGTGCGTTCCAGCCGACGATTTTAATAGCTAAGGCAATGAGATCAGTTATACTTATGTGGCTCCATATGGATCCAGGCGCTAGACACAAAATCATGTTAGACCAATAATCACAGTGCATAGCTTTCTGCAATACGCGATAAGTGCGACGCTGCTGAAATATTAGTCTCATTGACATCCAGGGAAATGAATTTGCGCGCTTATACCAGCTATCGAAACTCTACAGCAACAAAAGAGAGGAAAGAACAAGAGCATTACGCTGTGGCAGCAACGGTTTTAATATTAGGAAAAGTTAAAACACTCAGTCTAAAGGTGAAAGTCTTGACAGCACATATGTACGTCCTGATAAATGGAAAGCCACAGCGTCAGCTCTAATTATGACAAACTGAGATACTTACAACAGATTAGAGTCAGTCAGTCCGTACTGTAGAGAGACTTAAAGTCTCTTCTTCCCATGAAGTAATACTTTATCCAGTGGTTCCGTGGGAGAGATTTGGGTAGAGTAGGTTAGGTTTATCGGATTAAAGTTCCGCACTTCGGCCTTCGATGCTTACCCCTATAACACAAACAAAAATGGTGATCAGACCTACTTTATAACGTCTCGACATTTCTTCTGGGTGTTCAATTCCATGGCAAACTTAAGATTCCTTGTTTAGGTATAATAAAAGATCAGATTGCCGTGGAGTTGATTACACGTACAACGAATCGTATGTACTACGAAATTTTTAATCGTCAAATAGTATGGCAACTCTATAAGCCAAAAGTTTTCAGAACACTCTAATGATGTGAATCTGGAGACATCCGCAACTGATATAATTATATTTTTCTTTACTGTATAGTTACCTTTGCTACTCGAAATTATCTGGTGAAAATTTATTTTAATTATGGTAATATTACTTGAAAAAAATATTGAACACTTTTTGCGAGTTGGGTAACTTTTCAAAACAGTCTATCGTGAACAATCAAATGTGAGCTGCATCTTGAAATCAGCTGATCGACTGCTTTTAAAATTGAAATTTAGCCGATTTCAAAAAGTTGTTTTGTTACCATCAATAATAATTATACAGTGTTAATTGTGAAGTTTATTTTCGTTTACAAATAATAATCGATTTCTACTAACGTGTCACAAAAAGATTTATACACCGGGGAAATTGTTAAAAACAAAAGGACTGAAATGGACGATGAAAATGTAGACGATTCATTTGATGATGTGCTAGCAACCATCGAAATTCCCAGAGAACCTAAAGTATCGAGAATCGAGAAAACACAAAACGCCTCAAGTAGTACCACAGCAAATGGCGAAACGGCAAAAATTGTTGCTCCCCCGCCAGCGGCTCTGCCAAAAACTGCATCCAATCCACATTGTATACTAGTAAATCCAAAACAGCGTGGTAATCCAGTACTTAAGTCCATCGTCAATGTTCCAATCGAGTTTCGAGATGATATAATACCAGATTATGTGGTGGGACGCACTTCATGTATACTTTATATATCTCTAAAATATCACACACTAAATCCAGACTATATATGCCAACGGCTCAAAGAGTTGGGCAAACAATATGAATTACGCGTACTCTTGGTTCATATTGATGCACCGGTAAGTTACATTTTTTTTTTTTAATTGCAGATAATATTGAATGGTAATTTTTTGCAGGAACCCCATTCTGCTTTGAAAAATCTCACTCGAATTACACTCTTGACGGATTTAACGCTAATGCTGGCATGGAGTGCGGAAGAAGCAGGTAAAATTATTGAGACTTACAAGCAATTCGAGAAACGTTCACCAGAGTGGATAATGGAACGCGTTGAATCGAGCCCACACCAAAAGGTTATTTTGTGATTTTCCTTACGATCATAGGTTGGCTATAATAAATATCAATTTACAGCTAGTTTCAGCGCTAACAAACATTAAGCCCGTGAACAAAACTGATGCGGTAACGCTCCTACAGAATTTCGGCAAACTAGAAAATCTTATCAATGCTAGTGAAGAACGATTATCGCTTGTGATTGGTTTAGGACCAAGAAAAGCTTCGAAGCTGTACAAAACTTTGCACGAACCTTTTCTAACAAAGTAGTTTCTTTTCATTAAAGTACATAGGTACATAAGTTTATTTTTTATAAAATGAAATAAAGCACAGCTAAGTAGTTATTAGCTATTGAATTTTTACCTATCTATTCTATGAATTTCCATAACTTTATTGTACCATCATCACTACAGGAAATTAATTGGCCTTCTTGTGATGGATTCCATTTAACGGCATTCACATCTTGTAAGTGCGCCTTATCTTCTGATGTGATCATTGAAAATGTTGGTTCATTTTTCTGTGAGTTCGCATCTTCCTTAAATATGCGTATTGCATCATCGCCACAAGCAGTGGCAATAAGACCAGTTTTCTTACACCATGAAACATCATAAATAGCTCTGGAATGCTCGCCAGAAACTGTACAAACACATTTCCACACAGTCTCGTTATCTGGCGTATAAATGCCTTCTTCATTACCAGGCTGATAAGCTCGCCATATTTTTAGTGTTTTATCATCACTACATGATACCAAACGTTCACCGTCTGCATCGAAATCGATGCTCCACACTGTACTGTTATGTGATTCAAGTGTAGCAGTACTATACCAATCATTGTCGGCAGCATTTTCAGCATACATTTTTATTGTGTTATCATACGAAGCCGAAGCCAATATATCTTTCTTTGGATGCCATACCACACGTTTCACATCTTGTGTGTGTGAATTAAGCACAGCAGCGCAATCAAATTCGTCCTCTCCGGCTAATTCCCAAATCCATACCGATTTGTCACGCGAGCACGTAGCTAAAAGGTTGCCCGAATGGGACCAACTTACACTTTTCACTTCATTTTCATGGCCTTCCAAAGTGGCGATGCATTCAAATTCACCTAAATACCCTAAAATATATAACATACTTGTTGCTGGAATTTATTTACAATCATACCTGATGTTTTAGACCATATTGCTGTGGTTCCATCAAAGCTAGCGGACGTCAAATACTGTCCACAAGGTGACCAACTGATTTCACGTATTGTGCGTTTATGTCCATCAGATAGTATAGTTTTCGTGGTCCATGTGTTTCCAGATAATGACCAAACGCGTATTGTTTTATCCTCGCCGCATGAGGCGAACGCATTACCTTTTGGATGCCATGATACGCCCCAAATTCTACCTTTATGACCTTGTAAAGTATGTTCCAAAGACAATTTGCTCATTTTCAAATTGTATAATTACAAGATAATATCACAAATTTTAATTTTAGAATGTCTTAACTGTATTAATTGTAATTTATTATAGCAAATCGTTCGAGTGTGTATGCTTCTTCTTTTTCAGTTTTTTTTATTCACAGTTAAAAGAACAGCTGTTCGTACGGTTATTTACAGTTAATGGGCTGTGTATACAGTAATGCACATGTGAATTTTTTCTTATCAGTGAATGTAAATAAAGTGAATTGGTTTTATCAAATATTTTAATTAAAAAAGTAGATTTATAAGCATGAACGGCTTAATTGTGTTTAACAGTGCCAACGATGTTGTTTTCCAGCAACTAAATACCGCATTGGCTGAGCATTTCTTCGTGAAAAATCCCGATCTATTTCCGGAGAATGCAACTGCAGCTTCGATAGATGGAAATATTATCTTGCAGATTTTCAGTCCAATTATCAATTCCCAACGTATAATGCATTGCCAATTTGACAATACCTACTCAAGTTTTCAATGCGATAATGGACTGAATTTTGCCTTTGGTGACCTATTGGGATATACATTTGTAAAAATTGGACAACGTTCAGTAGAAATACTCAAACGTCATCTCGGAGTGGCTATTGCGCTGGCTCGCCATCTGTATGGTGCAAATTTATTTGCTACACAAGCTAGCAGCGTACAGGAGGAACTGCTGTCAACTTGCATAGAAAGCTATGAAGAACATTTGTGGGATGAGGAGCAAAGCATGCTGCTTGAAGCGCTACCACGATTGCTTGTCAATAATGAACTTAATCGAGTAGTTCACATTGCCCTGGATGCTGCATTAGAACGTCTTCGTGACATGGGTCATCAACGAGCACATGCCCTGGTATTTGCCACAAATAAGTTTGTCGCATCGGCTACATCGAAACAAGCGCTCGCTATGAGTCCATCTGATCTGGTATTTCTAACATTACTTTCACGCTCTTTACAACGTCAACACCGCCAACTTAATCGTTCTGTAGCAGTATTTTTGCAAGGCGTTTCCCATGACCCACAATCCGGTTGTGTACCATGTATCGCACACTTGTCGCAGCTATCGAAAGGTGTGTTGCTGATCCAAGTAATCGAGTATGCAAATCTGCATGTAGCTAGCAGCATGTATGATACTTTCTTTGTGTTACAAAAAATCATAACTCTGCAACTACAAGGCGACGCGGATGCAATGAAGCCCACTTATGATAGCCTTGAATCCTTTGTTAAACAAACATTAGAGGCACTCAAGCGCTCGAAGTTAAAAGCTGATGAAGTGGATACCTCATTGAAGAAATTCATTAGTAAATGGGATAACTTAAAGAAGATGTATGCGGATTTCTTTCGTTCAGTGGAGAGAGAGTTATTGGTACGAATTGAGTCCAACATTCCATCATTTATGGATGAATTGAAACAGCTTTTTACACTGACATGCTGTGACAGCTCCAGCATTGCTTTAGATCAGCTACCAGATGTGGCTGCACTAGTTGAAGGCAAGATTTTGGAAATTTCTGAATTTTTGGCCGTCAAAGCAGAGCGTAACATTACAATTGAGGCTTATTTGGAAGATTTTCCTGGTAAAGTTAAATACCGTTATTTTTATTATAAGTCCCGGCTCTTAAATTATTATATATATATATTTTTTTTTCAGGACTCATCCATTTTGTCTACGTTAATCGTACCACAGGCCTGATGATTGCTCCCGATTTGCGTGCAAATCAACTTATTTCCAAGCAACGCTTATGGTCAATGGTTCAATTCACACGCAATTACTTGAAGAAAGGTCATTCTACTGTAATGTGGAAGGATAAAACTTTCAACTACTCGTATTTTCTTTGGTTTGAGGACCAATCAGGTGGCCCTATGAAATCAATCGATATGCAACAACATATGTTGACTTCGGCATTGTCCAGTAACGCTTTCAAATCGCAATTCGAACCGGGTCTACTTGCCGCTGACTATTATCAACAGCTCGCTGAAGTCTGCTTCCCCAAGGTGACGCCTGGTAAAATAAAATGCTACGAACTCTTTTGTATTCACTTGGGATTAGTGACTTCAACTTGCGCTGTGGAGCATTCTCGTCGTCTTGTGGCAACAATAGCCGATTTGGCGGGTGGAAATAATTAGTGGAACTAAAAATATATTTCGTAATTTAGCTTAAATTGGCACATTCCAAAGATACTCATTAGATATTTTTTTTTTATTTTACAAAATTTGTTATTTGTAAGATTCTTTTAACTTGAGCTTTAAAACTTTAGGATTTAACATAAACAATTCACGAACAAAAACTTTGTTCATTGTTTGAAAATGTATCAAACATATAATAAAATGCCTAAATTAACAAGCAAGTAAACTTAATTTACTTTTGTAGCAATTACTTTCAACTAGTCTTAGGCGAATTTGTTATTAAATCAATTATGACTATTTTATTTTTCGCCTCTTTGATGCGCCACCAACGCCCTAGTCGGTGCTCCTGCCCCACAGCCGCAAAAAGTTTTGTGCCATTGCTATTAAACGCTAAGGCATTTATAAAGCCCGGCATTGGAATTTTTAAAATCTCTTTTAGTTTACGTGAATTGTCCAGTGACTGCCACAGACGAATATAACCGTCGCAGGAACCTATAGAGTAGAATTTACATTAATAAAAGAGTTGTAAAAGATTAATAGAGAAAAAATGTTTTTAGTTTTATTTTAAAGAAAACGCACCTGAGGCTAATAAATCTGTGTTTACCACACATGCAATCGCTGTTATCCAATTGGCGACACCATTGCTTTGGGTACCGTGTGCTAGCGCTTCCGTGCATAATGACTTCTTTTTCAAAGCACTCCACATGCATATTGAACTGCAAATTTTTTTATTTATAATTTAATTGATTAACTCTGTTTTACTGCATGCATACCCATCTTCACCACCTGATACGAAATTTTCATCGTTAATGAATTTCACGCATTCAATGCCATTTTGATGACCATTATAAATCAATTGCGATTCTTCGGTTATTTTCCATATACGCAACGTACAGTCAATACCACCTGAAGTGATGGCACGTTCCCGGCTAAGCGCGTCGATACTTGTAATAGGCGCTTGGTGCCCAAATCTGCAATTTATTATAGCTTAAAAATTACGAATTAATCTGAAATATTGGCAAATTTCACTTACAAGCTCTCCACGTAAGCCATTTCGTCGAGTGACCATATTTTTACAGATCTATCTTTCGAACCGGAATACAAGTCATGTGTATCTTTTCTGAACACTAGCGTTGTAACGACATCTCTATGCCCCTTAAAAGTCTTCAAGTGTTTTAGTTCTTTTGGTGACCAAATTTGTATATTTCGGCCACCTTCGGCCAACGCTAAATATTTCATATCACTGGATAAACATATAGCAGTTACGTGTGAGCGCCGTCGTGTGTCACTTTCCACATCTTCCGTATGCGGTTGTACATTGAAAAAGCCTTCTAATTTGACTTGACCTTGTACGTTCCACTTTAACACAAATTGAGTTTTGGCGCCGGTAAACACATATTTACCATCCGGCGACACAACTAACGCACATACTGGTAGATGTTGTTTCTTATGCTTAAGCACCACTATATTTTCCGCATCGTAATCTTCAATAGACGCCGCTATATTACGTCGCAACTTTCCCACACTATCAAGATATTCGGTTTGCAGGCGCTGCGATACGTGATCGTGTATTTCTCGATCTTCTGTATGTTCCGCTTCTTGTTTTTCTATTTCTTCTAAATATTGCTTTGCTAGACGTAATCGCTTGTCTTGTGGTGTTTCCTCCTCAACTTCATCCGACGAGAAAACCAGATTTGTTGCATCACCTTCACCGTCCAAACCACTCTCGAATTCTTCATCACTGGCTATTTCTTCATCTTCTTTCTGTGGACGTTTACGTGCTGGCTGCCCTTTGTAGGCGGACACCTTTTTATTAGCTCCTCCTTTTTTGCTACCTGTTGCTGGTGGTTCCTTCGTAAGCTAAGGGACAGTATGTTGATGGGGTTGAAGAGAAATTATTTTGTGTATATTATTTATATAAAAAATGTTCGCTTACCTTTCGTTTTTTATTTGCCTTCGGCTCTTTTTTCAAGAAAAATGATGAGGACATATTGTTTTTAATTTACAATATGTATCTTATTAATATTTTATACAATTTGTTTAAATAAAAGTAATTTATTTGAATCGGCGTGCACTTTTGAAATTGTGCCACACGTGAATTTCGGTTTGTTTTGACAGCAAGAGCAGCAGCCGTAGCAGCGCGCAGTTGTCAAAACTGTTGTTAGTTTACAATAGATCGTAGATGGAAAATGTTAAACTGTTATACTGTTCGAATTGGTATATCTTGAAATTTAAATTTTTAATAAAGGGATTTATGTATATTTGTATTTTTTAAATAAAATTAATAATACTAATACTTAAATTTTCCCAGAAAATTTATATGATTGATTTGGGTAGGTAGGAAATAATTCATAACGAAGTTGCTCAAGGTTTACTCTTGATTCTCTGGGCAACTCGAGCTCCAAGCAATGGGAGGGAGTCGGTGCATGTGTTAATAACTCCACTGTGAATAGCGTTCAGTGCGTATCTGAAGTTAGTTGCGTCCGTACCCTGATCGACGTATTGTTCTATGTCATCGACATAATGAAGGAATTGTCTTTGGACGCTCCTAGGAGGCGGCTTTGCTACAAGCAGATGACTGAGGGTGTCGAGTGTAACGACTAAAATCTTTAATGCCATCCACTGTAATGTTTAGATCCACTCTGTACTCCTTCGTCCAGTTCGTGAATATGGTCGCTGTGGATTAAGTGGGGGAGAGTGTTAGGCTTTTTGCAGAGAAGATGCAAGCAAGATCGGTGAGATAGCTGTTAACTTTTAAACATATGCAATGAAATTGTTTGACGTCAATATCGTACATTCATCTGTTTACGAGGTGATGGAAATTCCCGCTGGGGTTGCGGGAGTAGTTTACAGCTCTGGTAGTTAATTTTTTTTATTTAAGATAAGACTCCCCGAGGTTGGCGGATTTTCCAGGTTTCAGTAGGAGGACCTTTCTACACGCCTACTTTCTACACATCGGGTGTACGTATGAAGAGTGGCCAGCGACAGATTGAGGACATTGGTTACGTATTTCACTCCCGTCATTGCGTTGTGCGCAGTTGCTAAAAATGTTGCTTCGGAAATTGTAGTGGAGCTCCGCGATTCTTCCAGCCAGAATGAAGCGAGCGGTAGCAGCTGCCATCCCCTTGCTAATTTGATTTTCGCCAATGTTAACGGCCGTAGGAATCATAAATTCTGTAAATGCGACCCACTTAGCTTTGTTGAAGATAACAAAGATGCGGTTGAAAACAGAAAAAAAGTCGGGTGGTTTCTCAGTCGAGTTAATTATGGGCAAATAGTCTGATGGGAGCTAGCATAGGTCGCCAAGTTATGCTATTTATTAAAACACCGATAGTAATATCCGGCGAGCTATCACATCCGTCGTCATGTGGTCGAAAGAGCTACGTCGCCAAGCTATCTCAACTATCAATGTTGTTATTGTTGTGAAAATTTATTACACTTAATGTTACTTATGATCTAAACAGCATACTAGCAATAAATCGGTTAAAACTCTCTACAAAAATATATATATACAAATAATTATATAATAAATATAAAAATAAAAAAATTATATTATATAATATAATGAAAATAATAATATAATTTTTATAGTAATATAAAAAGTTTCGTTAAGTTTTCAAAAAGTATATTTTATTATTGAACAAATTGACAGTTATGTGTATTTAAAATTGAACTTGATATTTTGTATAACCTCTCCGTTGACTTTGGTGGATATAATACCAACATTTGCTGAGCTACCATACATTCAATTGCTATTTCAAATTGGGCGGCATTCACATTTGCGTTAACTATATTTTAACGTCAGCCACACACACATACCTACATGTATAGTTTTAAACTTAATGCCACACAAAAGCTTTATTTTGTCGCATTATTTTAATAATTTGCTCTCGGCGAATTCTTATCAAACTCAAATTGAATACATGCATACAAATATATACTATGTGTATAATAATATGTAGATATATATACTAACATACATATGTAGGTACATAGTAATTAAATATTTAAGACCTAGATAAAACGCTAGTACACTTAGAATGAGTATTGGTTGATAACTATAAAATAATTATACAATTAGTCGTATAGATACCTTATATGCACATATAGCAACATTAGTTAATAATTACTTATTGATAAAATCATACAAATACAAATAAAGTAGAAAATATGGAAAACGTATACCAGCGCTAGTGGCTAGGCAGTAGGGGCCTCCCGATTCAGTACTCCTCCTCTCATTTCCTAACCTAATTTTGTGGCTATTGTTGGAGGCGGTGGCTGCGCTTTGGACTGTGGCGTTGGCGTGGGCTCTGTTAAATCGGTGACTGTTGTCAAAATCGACTCATCAACCGAAGTGACGCGCGAAGCGATGTTCGTTTGTGTGGCTTCACGCTCGCTGGGTGTGGTAGTGGTTGCAGTGGACCTAGCTGTAATATGTGCTGGTGATGTAGTTGTCATAACGGCTTCAGCGGCGGCAGTTTTTGTTGCGGCCGCCGCGACCGCTGCTGCCGCCGTTGTGCCAGCTGCCGTTGCACTTGCAGTCGTTTTGCGTGTCGTTGTTGTTGTGTCCACGCTGCTGGACACGCTCGGTTGGAATAGATGAAAGAGGCTGGAATGTTTTGCAAGGGGCGGGAAAATCAGGTGACCGACAGCGCGCAACGGGCCGAACATATCGTGCTGATGATGTCCATGTATTGCGTGTGGCTGCTGTTGTTGTCGCTCTGCCGCACGGCAATTTATTTTGTGATTTGTGTTATTCTTATTTCTATTGTTATTGTTATTGCTGTTATTGTTGTTGTTCAACGGTGGCTGACTAGCGTCGGTATGCAGCGCTTGTTGCTGTGTAATGTTGCCATTACTAGCGCCGGCGCTGTTAGTTTGTAGAGTTGACTGCGTTGCGTCGGTTGGTCTGGCACCATTCGCCAGCTCTTTGGTGGGCGTGGTGGTCGGTGAGTCACTGGTGCAGGAAATCGTTTGCCGGCTATTTGTATTTCTCATCACTACAGCCGTCTTATTAGAGTTTTTGGTTGGACGTTGCGATTTTTTAAATTTACGTTTTCGACGCGGCGACAAGGGGTTCGTGTCATTTTCAATAACATAAACTTCAGAATTGCTGAGTCCCGACTGACTAGATGCGGAACGCGAATACAAGCCAATGCTGCTATGCTCAACAGTTTCACCATTATTGCCAGCGGTAATGACTGGCGCTGCTTTACAGGTGCTAAGATCCTGTTGTGGCAGCCGACAATGTCGCAACGTAGTCAGCAATCTACCTTTTGCGGGCGGTGTATGACCAGCGCTTTGCTTTTGTACATCGTAGTCACTGTACGAGGAATCGGTGAGTGCGCGCTGATTGCTCAGCACTTGGCTCTGGTAGTCCGTGTCATCGGAGCGCAGTTTCTCGCGCATTGCGCCCGCTATTATTTCGCTGCGTTGTGCATTATGCAGATGTCCATTGGGTCGCACACTTTCCATGCTATTACTGTCGCTGCTCTTGTGGATATTCGGTAGGAAGACTTCATCTAGTTCGGATTCATCCGGGCTGATGTTATAATTGCAATTGTTATATGAGTAGTCGGGTGTATTGCAGTGGTCGAGCGAGGAGTTGCGTCGCTCCTGTTGTGATGCGGGTGTCGGTGGTGTATTCGAGCTTCTATCTAGCGGAAATTCGTAATTGACGTCTTCCAGCTCGGCACCGCTTGAAGCCTCCATTATGTTCCACATATCACGTCCGATATCGGTGGGCATCGAGGCCACAGCGGCTACGGTTTGGTGTATGTTGTTTAAACAGGGCGTGATTACGCCACACTTGGGCACCAGCGGCGAGCCCTTGAGTGTCTGCTGTTGCTGTCGCAACCAAATGGGTGAATCTGCAAAGGAAATGAAAAAATAGTTGAGATAAACAAAATATATATACACATATCACAGTTACCAACCTATATAAATACGTGGCTGCAGTGAGTGCCGCATGCTAGCATCGATGGAATGTAAGCGGTGCTGACTTGCCAGCGAGAAGCGATGTATTGGATCCACCGGCTGTTCAACCTCAATACCCATTATCTTCAGCAACAAATTCTTCAGTGCCAATCGAAAGTCCTTCAAATGGTATGCATACAATACCGGATTACCGGCCGAATTTAGGTGAGAGAGTATAATGCAGAATAGTGTCAGTTTCCCAGACACCTGACAATCCGGGCAGAATGCCTTAATGCAATTGATTGTGTACAGCGGAAACCAGCAGATCATAAAGAACAATACAATGATAGAGAGATTCTGTGTGGCTTTGACATCACGTTTGCGTGAAGCACCTAAAACACGCAACATGGTGCCGCCATGACAAGACCGTCCCGGTTGCATTTGCGTGTTCGAATTGCGACGACTGCTGTCGCTCATCGGATTCATGGTGACAATTTGCCGCACCTGCAAGCATAAAAGGAGGGGTTTCAAGCATATATACATTGCTAGATGGTCGAATATTTTTCACATTTCCTTTGGTACCCACCTGCTTGACAATGACACGATAGATGTGTGTATAGAAGGCCAACATTAGTAGCGCTGGCGTAATTATGGTGGCAAAGTACAGGAAAACCAAATAGTTGTAGTCCATTACTTTGACAAAATGACAGGTCATATCCGCTTCGTTTTCAGGCTTTACATGCCAGCCAAATAACGGCAGGAAGCCCACAATAGTGCCAGCAACCCAACACAACGAGATGATGACTGCAAAGAAAGTGCAAAGCGTTGAAAAATAATTAGGCTATGAGTAATGAGAAATAATGGAAATAAAGAAGTAGAAATAAATGAAAGCGAAATTCTAATGCTACATAGAGACGTAATAACGTCACGACTGAAGCCTTAGATGGGGTAATGTTGTATGATTGTTTTGAAATACACTTTCCTTTGCTTTGTACATATTTACGAGAGTAGTTTGGTAAGCTGTACTAATTATTATAAATATATTATTTAACATCATTACGTAAAAAACGAAACGAACTGTCAAACTATCATAGTAAAAACATCGCCCTTTTTCGTTCATGACGTCGCGAGCTAACCTACTTTTCTCTCAAACACACTCCAACAAAAGTAATGGAAAAACCTGTAGTGCTTCTTTAATAATTCTTGCTTTTTGTTGTCTCCACAAGAACAGCCTGTTGCTGTGAAGTTTCTTATTCGCTTACTTTTTAATTTTAGTATAAGCATTTTCATGGCATAAATCTACTTTAGGATACATATGTATTTAGATCGGTTAGTTTGGTTGTGTCTCGTTGATTGACGAATTTTATCGGTCGGAATAACTTCTTATGAACTTTGTCTTACAAGTAGTTTTGGAAGTCTCTTTCAAAATTCTGCACTTTCCCTTACTACGAGTTCTCAAGTATGGCATAATTGCATAATTGCAGGTAACTGTAAAGCTGGCAAGGAAATAAAGGCTAACAGTAGGATTGGAATGAGTCGATGCGCCACTCTTCTCTTGACTCTACTACCAGATTGCTGGGCTTCGCGGGAGCCTTGCCAGCGTTGGGCTACCAGCAGTTCTTGCGCTGTCTACATAGAAGAAGACGAGGTGGAAACATCCCAACACTTTCTTCTTGATTGCCACTGTGCTCGTGGGAATAGAAATTCAACACCTAAGTCAATTTTTATTGGCCTCAAAGCCGGCCAAGATCGCATAGAAGAGTTCAATTTAGCTCAAGTGCGATCTCTGGATCAGCGATCGAACCTTATCTAATCATCAGTTGCTGCTTCGTAAGAATTTCGAAAAGAGTGTTCACGCCTCTGCTGCAACCAGTTTGGCTTGACGATTTTCAGAGTTGTCTTCGTCAATAGCGGCTGTAGAACTTACTAACTAAACTATGTTGATTGATTTGCACAACTGGCAACGACTAGGCTCAACAGTTCTCAAGCTCACGTGATTCTACATTACTCGAATGGCCCGAATTTTATCCTGCCAAGAAGTATCCTTTCGGTAATCGATACCTTTTTGAATCGGCAAGTTATAGGGGACTTGTCTGAATTGATAATATCTTAATCTTAGACCGAAAGTATTATTCTTGTTGCATTTGTTTTGGTTCCCGTCAAAGGAAAAGACCAACCGGTTTTAAGATGTTTCTGCATGGCTGTAGTACGAGTATTTATGAGAACCTTTTTTAGTGACCGACAAGCTTGCCTGGCGAATAGGGACAGCGAAGAGGGAAAAACTTTTCGATGTTAGTTAGAACTCGAATCCAATCCAGGTAGTGGGTAACTCAAACTACCAGCCCACGCCGGCGTTCTGAGCCAATATATCTGCCACAACATCTGCGCCAGTTAAAATGTCTTTAAACTGGAGAGTGACAAAGTTTCGACAAAGATATACATTTACAAAGACGATAGCTTAAGAACCTTTCGACATCACTTTACAATTATGTACATATTTTATAAACTAACCTCGTAGTAAGCTATGTTTGCATTTATAATAGCTCATTTTCTGCCAGCTAACGGTTAACAGATCACGTGAGGCATCATTTGAATACGCACATAAAAGATAAAGTAAATAACCACACAAGCGCTGTCAAGCGCCTATTACGTCCACTCTAGAAGCGTCAATTCCATACGCAAAGCTAATTAATAAGAGTACAGTTAATCTAATAGGCATACAGGGCAGCGGCACTCGAACGAGCCCCTAAATTATACGCTTGCAATATATCTTGTTTACATAAACACGCACATAAAGTTAGAACTTGTCGGGACGAGCCCACTATTGCCTGTCCATTTAATCCACATAAATTTCTGCCAACTTACACGCTAATGATTGTATGGCGTTGTCGCTGTGTGCGAGTGCCGTAGCTTCACACCGCCCCTCTTGACTGGTTGCCAGAGCGAATGAATTAAGTAAATGTGCGCGTCCGCCGCTTCAATTGATTGCCGAGGCATTCTCTTCATGGCATATTGCATGTATGAATCAACAATGCGAATACAATTCGACATTCAACTGCATATTAATAGGACAGCGTTCGTGTGCTGTGAAGAGATTATTGCGCTTGACTTAATTGAAATAACTATTTTTAGTTGATTTGATTCATTCAATGGGCCAAAGCGGTCGAACTGGTGTCTGTCACTTGACATCGCGCGATATGGAATTTACTAGAAAAGCAAGCTGTGCTGCTAACGCTAGTTTGAATTCCCTGTAGTGCAATGGCTGGTCGCCATTATAATAAAATGCTGCTACTAAATCTCATTTTTCTGCGATTTCGACTTTTAAAGGTTTTCTAAAACATTACATAATACTCGCCGTTAATGGGTTTTGTCTTTTCAAAATGTTCGATTAAAATTATTTAATTCATAGACGCCATAACTTTGCTAGCTGACTGACTGTTTTGTTTTTCTACGCTTTGCATTCGTTTTATCACTTTTCAATCTGTTTTCATATATCATTGTTGTTTTTTGACGATCGCGAACTCTGACATCTTTGGAGCGTCAGCTGTCTCGATGAACTTCATTTTACGGTCATCATAAATTATTTTAGTTTGTTTCCTGCGTAGCTGTCTCTTTTGGACATCGATTGGGTGATCCCATCGATGATCATGGACGGCCCAGAGAATGCTTGCTTCTTCTAGCTTCTTCTACAAAAACTTTGTTCACTCTAATTGACACGAAGTCCCCAAATTATAGCGATTTCTGTAAATTGATGTGACCATGGCAGGTGGTATAAGGTCAGGACTCTTATCGATTGATTGATTAATTTTGAGGTATGCACCGCGACCTACGGTCTATTGTGCCCTCCCCTAAGTCATATCGTGTCATCTAGGCCCAGCATATTGATAAATTCCAAAATTCTGCTTGGTGCTAGTGAGGCGATACAATCCCTGTATGGAAACATGGATCCCAGGGCCTTGATTCTGCGTCTGCAGACTGCTGTGCAGTTCATCAGCAGATGTTCGGGGGTTTCCGGCTCTATGTCGCAGAACCGGCAGTTTGCAGAAGAGGCTATGCCCATGTTAAAGAGATGCTTCTTGAGCCTGCAGTGGCCGGTGTAGAACGCTACCAGTAGCCGGAATTTGTTTCTTGGGAGATTAATTATGGCATTGAACCGCTTGAGGTCGTAACCCCCCATTAGCAGTCTGGCATGGTGCATGGATGGTGCAGGACTCTTATCACAAATAGGGGAAGAAGATATTCTAAAATCACTCATTCGATTGCTTAGATCCAGTCAACCAAGGTCTCTCCCAGGCTGTCGACGAACTCATATCCTCGAAGTATTGTGCGTTACAACTAAACTAGTTTCAATGGAACTAGTTATCTCATGAGCGACGTACCACATATCTAGATACCTTTAGTACTTTCCTATCTTTTCACCAGTCAATAGTGCTAACTTTCAATTCTGCCTGTCGCTTGGCCTCCATTTTGTATGTGTCTTTGCACTGAACTGAACTGAAGACAATTACAATTTGCTAAAGATAAATGAAATGCGTCACGTTTATTTGACGTCGTGAGCTCAAGCATTACAAGTACTATATATATATGTACAAACATGCATGTGTTGAGGATAATGCTGACGCGAGGGAGAACGTGCTCTCGTGTGTTTGGTTTCGAAATAGCGTGGCAAGGAAAGCGTGATAAATGGATGTTTTTCGCGCGCGTTAACTCACGCACTCACACGCATGAAAATTGCTACTTTAATTATGTAAACAAATACCGTTGTTTATTTGTGTGGGAATGCCAAATGCTGCGGATTCGCACAGTAACATCGCTACATTACTTAGGGGACGAATAATTGGTAGAAATTACTGCTCGAAATTCGTTGTTAATTAGTTAAATGGTCATTGTGCTAAAAATAAAGTCGCTAGAGGTAAGTGAATCCTTTTAAGGTAGCGCATATTTGGAAATAATTTCGGTGAATTATTTACTTTTGCTTCGTTTGCTAAGTAAAGTTTGTGAATGTGGTTTTTTGTTTGCATTTAACCTCGAAACGAATTGCCTTGTCCACCACGAAGCTTTTATTAAATTAATTTAACAGTTATAATTTAAGTATTGTAGTGCGTTAAAACTGGTGATTTGCAGGAAATATATTTTTTTATGTTTATATTTTTCGTGTAATTAATTGAAAAAGTTCGGCAACACTAAATATTTGTAGAATTTATATAGAATTTGTTCAATTGACCTGATCTGGTCAAGGAAGGTATGACTAAGTTTACAAAACCAAAATATAAAACTCTTATAGCTCATTATACTAACTCGATAACACGCATAGTCCTAAAAACTTTCGGAGAATCTCTCTCGAAAACGAAAACTTATATTCGAAAGTTTTTTGAGTTCCATAATTGATAGCCTTAGTTTAATAAAATGATACTGTAGAGCCCGTGAGATCACGTAATCTCTTGAATGTTCTTCATAGGAGATTCAAAGGAAGTTAGATTATGTTAGATTCTAGATGGAATCGCATTTGAACTGTTAAGGAGAACCCGGGATGTCACGAGATCTCTTGGATGGACTTTGTAGGAAATTTATTTTATGACAATATAGTTGTATGACGGGGATTGCGTTACGGGGTTTATCCTTGAACTTGTGGATGGTCCTAAAATATTCGTTAATAGATCTGAAATCCACTAAAAGAAGTTAGATCAGGTAAGGTTTTATGGCTTATTGCCAAGAAGGGCAGGGAATAGCACTTGTATTGTTAAAATCAATATTTTGTGAAACCGGAACAACTTTTATATTGAGGCCTGAAGTCTCGACAAAGCGCATTGAAGCCAGCACAAATTTGCCTAATTATTCTGTTTCTATTGTTACTAAGTACATTACCTGGATGTCTGAAGATGTGAGTTCCAAGGTCTTGATCTTGTAAAGGTGGAACAATGAGAGTTAGAAATTTGGACAGATGAACCTTGATGCTTGCAGAAGTGCTAGCAATTGACCAGCGATTGGCAAAGATCACGTGCAAACCCATTAGTGTCATAATTTTCTGCGCCCAACTCAAATCAACAACTAACTTGATGTCAGTGGTACTGAGGTCAAGCGTTACTAAACTAATCTCGAGCACAAGGAGAGTAGCGTCAATGTTAGTATCGCCGCCTTGCGATCGGTATGAATAGTAATTTCTTTGAGAAGGTTGCGCTCCGGATAAGTAGATTTACTGTTTTGCTTAACGAAAAGCATGAAGTCAAACTTGACGATTTTGCGCCTGTCCATGTCATCTCTTTCTAATATTTGATGTCCGCATTTGTTGGTGAAATTAATTAGTGTATCTAAATCATCTCAAGACCTTTTGTTTAGCCATTTGCGAACTTAAATAATGATTGAACATCCAGCGACTGTTTTCTTTTCTTTGAAAAAACTAAAGAACCCGGTAAACTTCTTTTTGTAATGAGGTTTCATGGATCTCGAATTGATTTTTTATTCCCCAAATATGGAAATGTTAACCTTTTTCTCACGGCAGTCGGGTCTATATACTTGTAAATGGAACGGACCTAAATTTTAATTCAGTCAAGGACTGTCAACTCCACAGCATTCCTTACATTATTTGAGGATAATTGATTAAAAGAGTTTTTCTGATGAAAATATTAAATTATTATGAGCCATAGCCTGTAAATCAGCCTGAAGTAATGCGAAAGCGATTCTAGAGTAGTCGACGGTTCCTTAGAGGAGAGTTTTTTAGTGACCTACAACATACCATTGCTGTGACGACACAATGACGATGCAGGCATTTTTCTCAACCTCCGCCGAAAAAAAATAGCCTGTAAATCCAAATCCTTCAAGACGCTTTCCTATCAAAAAATTGCTATATATTGTTTCATTTTAGGCAAGGTATCACTTTAGGTCAGAAACTTAAAAAATCGAGACCTTATAACAATTTCATTAATTTTTTTAATATTCTTAAGCATTTAAAAAACATAAGTAACAACTTAATTGTATTACTTACTAATTGCAGTCCGCGTGCGTACATTCCTCGAATATGCCATCGGATAGAGTATGGCCCAATAACGATCTACTGACACTGCCACCAAGCAGAATATCGAAATCGTGCACAATACAACCAACAGCGAAACGGTAAAAAGGCAAGTATATAGATCTTTTGGCAAACCAATCGAAGCCAATATGGCAAACGGTACACCCAAGGAGCCAACGAGGAAATCCGCCATAGCTAATGAAACTATATAATAATTAGTGCGTCGTCGTAGTTTACGGTCGCGTTGGAACACAACAATCACCATGAAATTGCCGACAATGGCAAAAATGGCAACCAAAATCTCAAACACCATATACGGTACATTCAAGTCATCCGACATCTCATTGTCATAGGCAGGTGTGCTCTTCGTCGAGAGCGCAATCGGCAAGGTGAAGAGAGACGAATCATTGCTGATATATTGGAAATCGGCTAGCGAAAAGAAACGGAACTCGGACATTTTTGCGGTTTAGTGTGGAGGACGAGTGTTGTAGTGGAATGCTTGTGCTTGTGTTGCGGAATACTTTTGTTGCTATTTGGAATCTCAATTTGTTTATTATTATTATTTTTATTTCTTTGTTTACTATTATTTTGTATTTAATATTTTTGAAATTATTATTATTTTAATTTTTTGAATTTTTTTTTTATTTTTTATATATTTATGTATTATAAATGTTTTTTAATTTGATTATTTTTGTTTTTTTTTTGTTTGTTGCTAATTACTTTTTCAAATGTACTGCTTTACCACTAAGGCGTCTTATTGTTCGCTCGTTCACCTGTTGGCGCCGGTTTTGCAGTTTTAAGCAATTATACAATTCGCTGAAGCGTCGTGCCGAAGCGCGTGGGTTTGCAATTAATTTGTACAAGAATTTCACTTGGCACGCCACTGTGATGCGCTGGTCAATGGCGCCGCAGAGTTTTTATTTACATGTAAGTCTTTGCGTGTTTGTGTGTGTTGCTTTGTTTACCGAAAGGATATTTCTACGAGTAGTTATTACACACACAAACGCGTGGTCGCCCCTTTCATTTGATTATTAAAAACTTGCGCAGCGTGGCTCGTTAGTACACTTTTCAACACTGGTTTTTGTTTTTTTTTAATTATTTCTTTTGTTTTTTATTTTTATTTTTCTTACATCGCTGGTTGTGATTTCTCTTGCATTAACGCGTTGACATGTCTTTCATAGCTCGTAAAATGGCGTCTGCATTGTCTTAGTGTGATAGCTAAGTTTGTTGTTGTTGTTTCTTCAGAATTTTTTGTTGTCGTTTTAACACTTACAAATAAAATGTTGCAGCTCTGCTTCAGCTCATATCTCATATCTCTTCCTATTTGCAGTTTTTTTCAATTGCTTTTGCTCACACTTTCTCATTTGTAAGGAATGTGTAATCTTCTGTTTGCTACTTTCACACTTTTTTCTATTATTTACTTTTATTGACATTCGTTGATTGCCGTTGTGCTTTGAAGCCATATTGTACGAGTCAGGTTTTTTTAGGGAGATTTACGGCTGAGAACGCGCTGCTGGCACGTGATCTGTAAGTGAAAGATAAATATGTACAATTATTAAAAGCTTTTTGGAGCGATTTTATTTTATACGCAATTTTTGGTTTTTTATTTTTTTTTTGCAAAAAATATATATTCTAAATAAATTAAAAAAAATAAAAATAAAGATAAACATCAAAGATAAGAATAAAAAGATCAATATGTTATTGATCGATAAAGCTATTTTATCACAAAAACAAATAATAATAAAGTCAGTAACGTTATACTAAAAATCATTTTGATTTACTTATTTTTAAAAAGTATCTTTAACCTTTACCTTTTATATAGCATAAAAGCATTTTTATCACATAAATTTTAATTTTAGTATTTTTAATTTTTTTATCCGGAAATTACTAATTTATTACTAATTGCTAATTATATATAACTATAGCATTTCGTAAAAGTTAATCTAGAAGCTAAATATTTGTTAAAATCATACAAAACAATTTTACACTACTATGTGAATTTGCAACAACAGTTCCTTTCACATACTTTCTGTAGTTGTACTTTTCAAAAGTATTCACAAGTTACTCATACGCCGTTCAGAAGGCAATGAAATTTGAATCAATATGACGTTTTTAATCTGCTATTTAGCAACACATAGAAATTTAATGTACAATTTTTTATTGAATCTACTTAGTCGACCATAAAGTACATAAATTACTTATACGCCATGACGTCAGACATATGTTTTTTGAAGTCATAAGCAGGTGCGTTTGCTGCTACTTAAGCTTAATTGAGAATTAAGTGAATGCTAATTGCAAACATAATGCATTATTAAATATTTAAAATAATAATGATATACTTTAATGGACTTTTGCAATAAAATGCAAAAAAAAATCATGTATTTTTTCAAAGCTCTTTACATAAAATAGTAAATTTACGTTGACACAATCAATTAGAATTAATAAATACAAATTAAGTGATATATGAATTTATTTATACTTTTAAATGGCTAAATAGTACCTATTTGACTTTTTATCCATATTAATGAACTTAAAACTTTATGGATTTTATATTTAGGGCAACATATGTTAATTCTATTATTTTACAATATCTAAAAGAATTATGTTTATATCTTTAAAAGGGTTTGCCACAAAGTTTGTAACACCCAGATAGGAGCGTCGGCGACCCAATAAAATATGTACATACATATATACACTATCAGCGTGGCGAGCTGATTCGATTTAGCCATATTCGTCTGTCTCTCCGTTTGGCAGTCTGTATATACGCGAACTAGGCTCTCCGTTTTTAAGATATCGCTCTTAAATTTTGTACACCTCCTTTTCTCTCTAAGAAACTGCTCATTTGTCGGAGCCATCGGTATTGGACCACTAAAGCATATAGCTGCCATACAAACAGATCGGTTAAAATCAAGTCGTTGAATGGAAAACTTTTTTATTTGACAAGATATCTTAACGAAATTTGGCAGAGATTGTCGATCAAAAACAACCCTACAATCTCTCAGTCGATAGTAACATTTTTTTCTTGTTTTCATTGAAGGTCGATTCTTGCAAAAAACGGTTATAAAACCGTAACTAAAAGAATTTAGACGTGACAGGAAATCAGATATCAATAATTTGTCAGTAAGTAACATGCGTTCTAGATATCGCAAAATATTTTTACAGTTTGTAAAAGATAACGCAGATAAACGTGATTAAAGCCGCAATAGCCGCATATCTGTTCCTAATGATTGCTCAGATATGAACAAAAACATGTAAGGTNATGGAGATTTCGAATGGGATCGAGCGTCTGAGAAGCGATAAAATAGTTCGACATATGTACTCAATATAGCAATAAGTACTACTCATGGTGATCGTTTTGAAATTGATCTTTATTTGGTTTCTGATACTCGCAGAGGTTTTTATCTTTTAAATATAATATATTTCACATAAACATACATTCAGATTATACTTATTTCTTTAAACTTACTGTCGCTCTTTTAGATAAATTTAGTAAATTGAGGGTTTTTGTAGAAGGACCTCAGACTTCGCTAATCTTCAGTTGAAAAAATACAAAATTTTACTGTGACATTTCTTCTAAACAGAAATGGAACGGAAGTCAAACTGTTATGTATAGTTTAAGAGCTTCAAAAATATGCCTGTTAAATGGGTGTGGCCTTTTATCTTTAGTTGGTTGTTATTTAGTTGACTAAAGCATAAATTAACAAAAATCGCATGATGTGCTCGGGTATAAATAAGTAAACAATTGTAGACACATATTAATGCCCTGCTAATACAAGTACATGCTATGAAAAATGAACAATAATTGTATGCAATATTTATCTAAAATTAACCTGATAGTGCACACAATTGACAGGCGAAATTTATAATACATATTAACAGAGAAGTAGATCAAAAATAAAATTAACAAGTAAGTAGGGGCTAAGTTCGGTTGTAACGGAACATTTTATACTTTGCAACTTGCCAGGATCAAAGCTGGGGTTATTCATACCTTCAGGTATGTTATTGGCAATATTAAAACACCAATTTCATTTATATTGAGCGCAAAATCATTAAAATAGTTTTATAATTTATTACTTAAAAAAAACGTGTATATTTAATTTTATTAAAATATCACACATTTTGAGCAACCTGAATGGTTTACAGTCAGATGGAAAGTGGAAAATTATTATATAGGGTATTTTGGGGGCAGAGAAATGCAAAGACTGATTGCACTAATTTCTGACATTGTTCAAGCAATTTTATAAATATAAATCTATAAACATGTATTATTAAAGAAATTCTTTCTCCAAATTTCAGAAATATATCCCATAGATTGACGGATATTTTCGACTAGATAACGCTCATCTACGAACTCGTCCTTCATTACGATATCTCAATTTTTACTCAAGTTACGCCTTGCGTAGTTAGACGTACGGGCAGACGNTCAGACGAACAGATGGTTAGACAGACTTCCGAATTTCAACTCGTCTCGTCAACCTGATCATTTATATATATTATATATGTAACCCTATATCTACTATCCACTTGTTTTAGGTAATACCCTTGGGTGAACAAAACTATTATACTCTGTAGCAACATATTGCAAGTGTATAAAAACACAACATATTTGAAACAAATACTTTCAGAAAATATTTTGTGTCTAACACACTTTCAAATACTGCCTGATTAATCACGCTTACGGCTGGGTTTGGCCGGTTAAACGGAGAGTGACTAGCAGACAGGCCATAAATTACATGACGCTGCAGGTCGGCACATATTGTTGGCTATGAAGGAGTGTGGAATAAATGGCCAATTGACAAAACAAGCGAAAATACTCGTATAACAATAATAAGGTCAAAAAGAAGAGTAAAAAAAAGAATGTGAACATATTTATATATATATACATATACGTCATTCTATATGTATGTACAATATACAAGTCAAAAAGGATAACCAACGTGATATCTGCAGCACTTGCCACTTTGCCTTACGCACTTCTACCGCCTATGTTAATGAAGTTATGACAAAGAATAATGAAAATGGCTGAAAAGGTTCAAAGTATAAATAACAAAAAAATAACGGTTAAATTGTCATGAAATGGTTAACTCAAGTTCAACTGTGCAAATAAAGCGGTTAACGGCTACAAAAAATGAAAGAAAAATGGAGAACGTATTGAAAAAGCGTAAAAAGGTAAATAGATGCAGTGAAGGTCACTAACACAATGCGAAGAAAATTAAGTGAAGTGACGTAAATTGGGTTATTATCATTTATTTATTTCTGCACTTTCATTACTCTTTATAAAGTTAGGCCATTCAGTAGCTTATTTCATTAAGGCAACTGGTCTTTTTCTTTTTTTTGTAGTATCTTTATAGCATACAATTTGTTAGGAGCAAATTTAAGCCCGGATTTTTGCAACGTCCCCAAAATTAATAAGAATGAGTGGAGGCAGTCTAGGCAATTGCGAATTTCTGTTAATGGTGAGTTAAAATAAATAAAATAAATAACAAGCATTCATTATTTAACAATAGCAGGCACCGGTCACTTATACGCCGTGTAGGTTAGAACCTAAATTATATCAATCGATATAAATTTTTTAGTATTCTATTTAACAAGCATAGAAAATTATTATACAGTTGCTTATTACATATATTTTGTTGAATATAAAGTCATAGATTACTCATACGCCATGGTGTCAGTTTTATTTTGAAATCATATGCTCAAAGGTGTTGTAGAATCTGATAGTTGTCGGTATCAGAATTAAGACCGATTTTAAATTTAGTACGTGTCATGAACTCAGATATTATTAGTTTAATGTTCGAAATAGTAATTGTTTTGGGTTTGGGTATCACGGAAACCAATTTTATCGATTCGATATCGAAAAGACGAAAATTGTTTTGCAATTCTGACAACCAAGCAAATTTGTTTGGATTCTACAACACACCTTAATATATGTGTTTATTAATTGGTGTATAAATGCTAATTGTGTGAGTAATACTTTGTTAAATACTTCAAAGCTGTAGAAGATATGGGGTCTATAACATTATTCGTGCCGTTTGCCAAGAGTTAGCGTAATTTTATTATTACTCGGTATATATATGACAATGGTATAGTTCTAATATTTCGAACATGCAATGGAAAACTACTGTCCTTGTGCGTCTTTTCAGTATATGAAAATCATTTGAAGCGTAAACAACAATAATTTATATTTCACTCATATATGTCGAAGATTGTGTCTGAAAAAGATTTTTACGATGAGTTCTTCTTTCATATTTTTACTATATGAAGAAAACTTCAATCAAAAGTCGTCATATATAACATCCTGGACGATCAAAAAAGTTCGAAAAAAACGATTTTGGATGTCAAAAATGCTGCTTGAACTACAAAAAGAAATCGTTTTTGCCTCGGATTATAACTGGTGATAAAAAAAAAAGGATTAATTTTTCAACCCTAAATGCAAAAAATCATATGTGAAACCTGACCAACCAAATCAACGGCATAGCCGTATATCTATGACACCAAGGTAATGGTCTATATTTGGTAGTATCAA